TGCTTTTTATTGCAAAATACACAGCCTTAGAAGCTTAAATAGCATTATCCACAATTTTGGTATGTGACGTGTGGAGGACTTGCACAGCAACTTTGATGCAATGAAAAGATACTCCCAGATAAATAGTGTTCTTTGATCCCCACAACATCTTAGGAGCAAAGTTTATGACCAAAGCAGATCAAATTTACCCTTTATTAATTGTTTAGCCAGCTCTGTTATATACCTATTATTTACTACATCATTATGATGCTCCCCAAGATGGAGGTGCAGCATTCTGGCAGTTGTCCAATATACAACAGCTTGGATGTAGTTAGTGAATTTCATAAAGAAATAGCATAAACCCCAGATTTTTCAGTGTGTGGAATTGTGTCTATCGAGGTTATGTGGGCTATGGTGCTAGTGACAATATGTAACTGTATTTCTTAAAATCCTGGCAAATACAGATAAGGAATGGCAGGTATCACAAAATTCACTACTTCATACAATACAAGAAAACAACATGCCTTTGACCCAGTTGACAAGGTGGATAAACTTGGCCAGATAGTATCCAATTCTGCAAACTGCTAATTTAACATAGGAAAGTTCATCCACAAGCAATTGGATGGAAGGATATGAGAAAGCTCTGCATATAAGCACTGTAATTATTGCTGTAATATTATTTTTTATACCATAGATTTTCTTGAATTGCTTTAATTTTCCCAAAACTTTGTTTGTGCACTTGGACATATATCATACTGTTTTCGTGGATCAAAAACTGCATTTGACTCATAGTATGCTCAAAAGCAGAAAGTAACATGTTGGGAGAAATGTACAATATATGTTGTCCTTTATGACTGCTAATTTAGGGACACTTCTGCAGTAGATTTGTTTTTGAGATAGCCCTACAACAAAAAATTGTATGATGTCATTGTCATTCAAGTAGGAAGCAGCTGACCACTCTTCAGTTAAGTGATTTTGCAGAGTGCTTCATCTTGCATAAAGATTGGCCATTTGAAGCAGTTAAAACTGAATCACTCTGCATATCTTCCACATTATGGAATATGGCTGCTGGTAAAAATTTTTAAATTGAATAAATTCCATTCTATTTGGTTTGATTTATCAGTGTGAACAAGTTGTCTGTATGATAATTGATCAAATCCAATTTAAGAAGTTTTATTAATAATAAGACTTTTAAACTGAAGCATTAAAAATAAATATTTTCAGTTAAAAACAAGTAAAAATATACTCTCTCTACTTCCGACTTCAGGGATTCTACAGGTCAAAACCGGCAAATAGTGACAAGAAATAAATTAAACTTTTATCATTACCATTGACTTTATTATATTGATATATATGTATATTATATGTATCAATATTATTGATGCATTCCAAATTTGATCAATTACTATTATACAGGCAACATATTTAGAATTATTATATAATTCTATTATTTACATCTACTGTATATGGTATTTGTTTTAACAGTAAGTATTTTTTTTATTAAGAATGTTACTTATATACTTTGCATCTAAACTTATCAAAAAGAGAAAATTCTATTAACCTTGAGCTACTTTCCTAGAAAAATTTTTGAAATGACTTTCCTGTACGCACAAAAAATTCTGAAATTTGAATATTAAAATGTATTCAAGATTTGTTTTGTATTTTTGTTGTAAACATAGTAATTTATATTTAAAAATTATTTTAATTATTAAATGGTATATTTTAATTATATAAATTAAAGTTTAATTGAAGTACTAGTCTTGCAATGATTTTAGATACAAATTACTAAATCTTGTATATAGCTATGTTAAAAATAGCTAACTTTGTATCAGAAGGCATGATTTTAATATATATACAACTTTTAAATAGAATGATATAAAAACAAATCATATTTAAATTTTTCATATATACAGGGTTCCTACGCACCTGGAAAGTCAGGGAAAATCAGGGAAAGTCAGGGATTTTCATTATTTTTTGAAAAAGTCAGGGAAAGTCAGGGAATTTGTCAAAAATTGTCAAAAAGTCAGGGAATTTGTCGAAAATTGTCAAAAAGTCAGGGAATTTGTCTCCTTAACTGCGTTGTTGATTTCGTTTGCTGAATATAGATGACCAATCACAGCCATCTGCAGGCGGCAAGAAGTAATGCTGCAATCTTTAAAACCCGAGATAACTCGGGCAAGTTCCATAGCGTTACATAAAACTCGGGCATTTGGGCCCTCCGAAAAAATTTTTGTTTTTTTTT